TTTGAACATTTTGAGGAAAAAATATAATGTGCTTGCTTCATCGGTTTTTATTTTTAAATATCTATATATAATCTTCTTATATCATTTTAGTGTAAAATATTTATTCTATATGTATAAATTAGATAAAAGCAGAATTTGGTTCGAATAATTTAAAATCAAGTCACATTAGGTTTAATGTTATTTTGTGCGACTGACAAGGCTATTGCATCCGCTTTAAGAGATTCCACGTTTGATAATCCTACAAGGTTACGTGAGTTTCTTAATTGGATAAACTTTATCATCGATATCTTTTAAGGTTTTAACTTCAAAAATTATTTGATTTACGTGATTTAATATGAACAAAATAATGTTTTTAGTTCTTATAGAAAATGTCAACATATCCTCTCTATAAAAGTACATATTTGATAATAATTTCAATTACAACCTATAATTTTACACGAGTTTCTCAACCGAATAAAATTTACAATTAATTGTATCTTTTTACATTTTAACCTGAAAAATTATCTGGTTTACATTATTTAGTATGAAAAACATAATATTATCTACATTACTTTGTTCACTCTAAAAAGTTACATAATTGGTAATAATTATAATATTACATGAGTCTATCAATTGAATAAAATTTACAACTGAAGATTTTTTTACATCTTAATCTAAAATATTATTTAATCTACATCATTTAAATGGACAATGTAATATTTTCAATTTTAAGAAAAATTTTGTCATATCCATTATAAAAAGTTACATATTTGATAATAATTTCAATTATAACTTATAATGTTACATAAATTTTTTAATTAAATGTGTAGACACTCATTTTCGTCCATATTTATTTTTATGTTTTTTATTTAGAATATATATATGTATATATTATATAATTTTGAAAACATTTTGAAAATATATATAATATATAGTTTTTAAAACATTTTTGAAAACATATATATATTATATAGTTTTTAAAATATTTTGAAACTAAGTGGGCCTGAACCAGCCCAAGACCATTAAGGGTTTGAAAAACCCTAACATAACCAGTCAACGGCACCGCAAGGGAGCAAACCAACGGCCAGCGCGTTTTCCAGCCGCACCAACAGGATTGAACCATCCCGAGGCGACCGGTGTGACATGCACGGAGATCTCGATCAACCAACAACCACGTTCCCGGGATCGTCGAGACCCAAAACGGCCAGAACTGAGCTATAAAAGCCTCGAGGAGAATCGGAACAAGGGGACACACAACACGCATCGACAGAAGCCATATACGAAACATCACAGTAAACCGAGAACCAACAGTGAGAAAAACAGAACTATCGAGCAACAGTACACTCAAAAACCACTAGCAAAACAACGAAGCACAACCATAAACCAAAAGCCGAAACAAAACGCAAAATAAACCACAAACATATCAAACCATATCCCAAGCATACAAAGGCAGCCATCATTGAAAAAACTGAGTATTAACGCCGGCGTGAGCTCGGGATAAGAACAGTCATTGGAAGGTGAAGAGGTTTGTCGGGAAAGGTGAGAACCGAGGGATATTTCTTTAGATCTGCGACTATTGGGGATTATTTTGGAGATTTGGAGGCTGGATTTGGTATCGGGGTGAAGAGGGGAATGTTTTGAAGGGTTTCAGTTTTTCCAACCGTCGCGAGCAGCGGTCTGCGGCGATGGCCCGGTGGTCGGTTTCCCACAGGTGGAGCTCTCTCTAGAGAGAGGCGAGAGAGATATCAGTTTAGAGAGAGAGAGAGGAGATTTGAAAAATGAGGAAGAATGAGTGTTTTGGGGGATGTTGAGGAGGTTTCACATGCGTGTCCCATATTTTTGGGAATAATTATGATTTTAGTCCTCCTTATGTTTTATACATTTTATTTTGCCCCTGAAATTCATTCTTTCTTCGATTTACATTGAAATTGACCCTCAAATTTGATTTTATTTCAATTTAGTCCCTTTTATTATTACTATATAATTTTTTTTTTCATTTTTAGCATTATTATTATTATTATTCATTTATCTTATTTTTTATTATTTTATTTTATCTCATTTTATTTTATCTCATTTTATTTCATCGTTTTTTTCTCTCTATTTTATTTTATTTTCCCCCTCTTTTCTTGATTTAATGATTATTTTTTATTATTATTTCTACATTTTTCTTCGATCTATTTAACATTTATTATTCCTTGATTAACATTTTTGATCTCTTTTTTAGAAAAGTTCACAACCATTCCAAGGTAAGTAATTCGAATCGGGTAATTTTAATTTTCTAATTTTCGCTATAAAGACAACCGATAAATTAATTGGTACCGAAAGGGCGGTTAAAGGGTGCTAATCCTTCCTTGACCGTAACCGACTCCCGAGCCCGACACGTCTCTGGTACAACGCATATCAGATAAGATGGTGTCCGACCCACCTAAATTCGTTTTAAAATAGTCAGTGACGACTCCAATTCGTTTAATCCAAGTCGATGCCCAATTCCGGACCCAACCGAAAGACGGTTCCGGCAAAATGAAATTTAACTCTAAAAATGGGTGGTCAAATATCTCTTGTTCCTCTTAATCCATAAAATTCTATCATATGATAAAAATAATATATATTTTTGTGGTAATTCAAACTAGGGGGGAAAAAAAGAGTTATTGTGTGTTGTCAGACAGCTGCGTGGCCATTCCAATAAGACAAGGCAAACTAGGAACAATCTTCTGTGGTCAGAGGTTAGCCAAGAACGAACAAAACAGACCAAGTTAATCACGCTCTGATCACACAGCCATGGTTCATCAATCAGACTTAGAATCATGTCTCCTTAGAACTCAAGGATTCCTGTCTCCTTAGAACTCGAGGATTCCTGTCTCCTTAGAACTCAAGGATACGAAGGTACTAGCCTATAGAACAGATCCTGTTCAAATAAGGTCGTGCCAGCTACCTCCCGGTACTTGGTATATATCATTCGCGTTGCTCTTTCCTTGACGCTGTAGGATTCTGTTCAACTTCCGACGAAACAGTCGTTGTTTTAACCTACACGTGTCTTTCATTATTTATTTAGCATTAAAAGGAGCAGATAGTTTATTTACCAAATAAAAAAAGAGCATAGTTTACATGAGTAATCTGATGTGTTATCTGTCACAATGAAACATATCTATATTTTTACTTGAGAATCAACCTATTTCAATAATTATTACATTAAGGGCACAGAAACATGAGCACAACCTCTCTAGGGTCGAAGCCAGGAAATAAGACTGAAAATATTTAAACTGAAATTATGAATAATCAAAATGCACTTAAAAAAATAATACTCTCAAGTCAAATCTCAGTTCACTTGAAACATATAAGATAATCTATTTAAATTACACCATAAGTACTTTCATACAAGTGAAATCATCAATTAAAGAGTTGAAATCTTTTGCAATCACCTTCTCAATGTACACTAAAATGTAGCTAAGAAAATTATCATCCATTCGATTCCTAAGCGTAGTTTTGACAACACTCATTATTGAAAATGCTAAGAAAATTATTTGCTGCCATAATATAGGATCGCCGATCAATCTGAGACAACATGCTACCTTTTAAAATTAGTTCTTAAAATCTTTTATAATAAGATAAAACTATAAAATATCAAAATTTATCATATTACGATTATTTTTTATCAAATAAAAATTTCAAACATAAAATTAATTTTTCTCTACTGAATTTTTTTCACGCATGCTTACAATAGGAAAAATAATTTTTTTGAGTTCGTAGATTTTTTCAAAGTGTGATGCCCCTAAATTTTGAGCCCACATACCACGAATTTCACTTACTAATGAACGAGTCTGCAATCAACATTTCATGAAACTCTAAGATAGTATGTAATCATAATTATCTAATGCATGCAAGGCCTAAAGGAAGAGCTTACTTACCCTTCGGTAGGGGTGAACGGAAGTCAAAAAATTTATCTTTTAAACTCGATTCGACTCGTAATTTTAAAAATTCGACTCAAATAAATTTCAAATTCAAGTCGAGTTATAAAGTATAACTCTAACAACTCAAAATTTATAGGTATTAAATAATTAATTTTCAAGTTTGAGTCAAATCCCTCAATTTTGTATAATATATATATCATATATAAAAAAATGTGAAGATATATGCATGTGTGCGTGTGAATATATAATATATATATGTGTGAATAAATATATATAGGGGTGAGCAAGACTCGACCCGAAAAATTGATCTTTTCAACTCTATTCGACTTGTAATTTTATGTCATTATAGAAAATCGTTTAAATTGAAATCAATAATAACATAATATTATAAACATTTACAATTAAATTTAAACAAAAAAAAATCAAACAATTCAACTTGACTAAAATTTTAGAGATTGGACCAAAAAATTCAAATAAAATTTAGATTAAAAAATAAAACTCATCAAAACAACCAACTCAAATCATCTTTTGATGGGCAGATTTCATATCAACAGTACAAATTTACAATTTTTTTTCGCGACATGAAAATTAGTCACTATAGGGAATGTAAACGTGAAACCTTTTTTCAGCAACTATTTGAATTTAGTTAAAGAAAAACAAATAAATCTTATATTCAACTCAATTCTCGCTTTCTTTTCTGTTTTTTTAACCAAAAAAAAAATTGTTGTTTGTCTAGAGCTATCAAATGAACTAAACTAGGGTATTTTTCTGCATCAGATAATTTACCAAGCCAGCTTTATTTTATTTCTTATTAGCATCGAGAAATATTAATCATAATTAAAATTCAAACATAAATACTAATAAAATCTTAAAACTAAGTCAAGTAGGAGTGTGAAAATCAAATTCAATTTTTACTGAATAATTAACCTTAAATCAAGATATGTTGAATAGTTAGATTTTTATTTTGAATTGGCTTTAAAAGTGATACTTGATTAAGCTCTAGTCTTCTCAATATTTCATATATATAGTAGTAAGGTCTACTACATTTCGTGTGCACTTAAATCCAAGAACTTGCCATAAACTCTGAGAGTGGGACATGAGAGGAAAAGAATGTCATCTGCAAACTATACCCGCTATTTGTATAGACGCTGTTAAAGAGTCTTCACATGTATTGCTAAATTACACTTGTAGACCTCCAAGCAGAAACCATACAATAGCTGTATTAAAACTCCCCAAAAAAACCATTATATCAAATCAAAGACATATCCCCTCAAATGTGTAAAAGTCCATACCTACAAAACAACGCTCATCGTTTGAAGAATCTCACCACTTCAACTACGATGCTAACGGATAACTACCTGTTCTATTAGTTGTATATTTTAACTGGTTTCTCAAATGTGTGACGATTCTGCAACAGTTGTGTGCAATACACAATTAGAACTCCAATATTGCAAAAATAAATAGAAAATTCGTTAATTTGCATGACATGTAAATGTACTTCTAACATACCTGATTTACATAAGCTCTCTTAGGACTGTTATCACAGTGCTCTAACCCAAGGTATTGCTCCCAGGCACCATAAACATCTCTTCTCTGAAGAGTACACGCAAATAAATACTTCTAACAAATAAATGCGAGGACAAAACACCAAGGAAACCAAGACAAACCTGAAAACGATTGAATAAAATGTCGGAGTCCTCTAGGTACTCTGGTCGCCCCGAAGGCAACAGTGCAAACTTCCACTAAACAAAGAGATGGTAAAGGCATCAGGAAAGGGACGTCAAACTGATTTGTTAGTGGGGAAAGATAAAAGGAAAGAAACGAATAGCATATGTAAGTAAAGATTTGCATAAAAATACCTTGGAGAACTCTTCCTCAGGAACCTGCAATTTCGCTTGAATCCGCACTTTAGCATCTGCCAGTGTTTCACCTTCATGAATGACCAAGAAAAAGGGCTCGCCAAAGTTCTGTACTTGCTGTTGAGAAAAGAGAAACAAAACAATAATTCTTAGAACATCCAAATTGTGTTAAATAAAATCATTACAAATGAATATTTGCTAATTCGTTCATAATTGGCTACCATCTGATTTGGGCCAGTCTCTTTGGTAAAGTGGTAAACATGGATCAACCTATCCTGGGGACCAAGATTCTTCTCTTCTTCCGGGATCTGAAATTTGATAAAATGAAAAAAGTTTATTATATTAATAGATGTTGCAAACATGCATAGTATATTATCAGAGATGCTGACTCCAGTTTTGACAAATCACTTCCAAAGTTATTCCCTTATAACTTTAATAAGAAAACAGTACAACATTGTCTAGCACTTTAGACATGAAATTTCAGCTTCAACAGAGTAGAAAAAGGAAAACTTGCCTCTTCAGCACGCAATGTCCAATACTGGTCATTTATGTTATCAATCTTTTCACTGGGCGAAAATATCTGATAAACACGGGATAGAATATGAGTCACATAAGAAAAGCATACACTTTCTCATTCCGAAAAGACATTTAAAATTCATTTGACTAAATTATATCTATAAACAATTGAAATTGCAACTAGAAATAACCAATATCAACCTTATAGATCTTGTGATGGAAGACTTCAAGCAGTCTAAGCTCTGCAGTTGGATGTGATAACTCTACCTGTTTGTAATCCAGTATTGATCAGCAAAACTGTTTATTCACTGTGAACTTAAAGTTCTGTGACAAGAACAAAGAAATACTACTAAAGATGAACTCCTCCGCTGGGAGATTATACATTAAGACACAATAACCTGAATATTTCAGTTAAATATTCATCAAATTCATGATAAGGGAATATGTACAAAATTCTAGTTGGTTCTCAAATGTGTATTCAAAAGATAATTAGTTTTTCTATAACAAAACTATAAAATAGAAGTAGCAAAAACTTACCTTTGTCTTAAGTTCATCAATTACATCTCCGACAGTGCTCTGTTTAGGCAATCTAATATTGTGAACTAGCACCTAAATATCAAATTAAACATTATTACAGAAAACCACATAAGAATAAGATGATCCTGAAAAAGGGAATTGTGAGGAGTAACTGGAGATATTTACTTCGTCTTTAGTAGCATGATAGAAAGCAACTTTCAGGTTCTTCAGACCTTGCAATTCTGGCAAAGGAATATCCAAAACTTCATAATACAAAATGTCAGATGTCTGTAAAGGAAAAAAAAATAATCAGTCAATATGTTTTGCATAAAAGGAACAAATACAGAAATATCCTATATCATATTGGCTACCTGGTTATAGTGGACCAACATATCTGACAGATGTTCTATGCCTCGGTATTTAATAGATTGAGGTTTAGGTTGTTGAGAGTAACAATTGTGAGATGTGAGCCTGAATTTGGATGGATCATCCACACCAAGTTTGCAAGCAACTCTTTCCACAACATCATCATAAGTATGTATCTTTGATCTTGCATGTTAGAGAGGAAACTTGACTATAAGTGTCTGACAACAATAATGGATAACTCTACAGAAGAGAAGTTTGTATTTGGGGTTCTTACAATTCTAAACAGAAGTCATCTTCCTTTGGTTTATCCAGAGATCGAAAACGAACAATCTAAGAACATCAAATCACAAGCAACTTAATTGATTTAAATCAATATCGCAAAAAACTGGACTAGACCTGATGAAAACAAGGGGAAATGCTTCTTCGGAGAGAAGAATCAAGAATGCGGCTGCTACAAAATCGATCTAAAACATTTTGCAAAATGGAAGCCATATTGTCAGGTTAAACTGCAGTTTCTAGTCTTCAACAAAGAATAATGATGATAGCTTTCTTATCAACCAACAGATTAAATTAACCATAAAAAATTCACAATCTGGACCTTATTTCCCTTTTAAGATCCCACAGTTATCATAAAAAAAAGACTTCATGTCAAGGAAAAGGATATTCTAGGAACTCGGTTTAGATACGTCTTTTGCTCTCGCTCACTATATTCTAAACTTTTATTAGTATTTCTATTACATCACATGAATGAGGACAGAGGGCATGCAGCCATAAATATGAACAATATCAGCCTTCCATAATAAAATCAGAAAACAAAAAACAGCAAAAGATCAATAGCAGATTCAGAAAGTTACCAGTGACAAGAGTTCAGGAAACTGTACCTGGCGGTTGTGCACATATTCCAGAAATGAAGGCACATATGGATACCGGCATGCTTCTACCTTTTCAACTGGAGACTTCTGAAAGCATATGATATCCCCATCTTCTATCTGCAAGTAAAGACACGATCACTGGAAACTTACATTAAAGAAAAGAAGTTGACATTCTAAAGCAAAATATACCTGACTAGAGCGGAATGAGCATCGCTTATCCAGGTGCTCACACATCACACAAGGCTCAAACTTTATTTCCTAAAAGTTGCAAAATTGTCAGGCAGGTGAAAGTGATTTAGAAAAATTATTTTCATGTGCATGCAAACACAGAGTTAAGCAGTAACAAACCTCGTACAGCTCTATTTCTTCATCAGGAGCGAAGTCAGCCATTTTATTTATCTTTGCTGTGTATTCTATAGGCTTACCAGAAAGTTTTACCATAAGCCTACCAACGTAACTGAAAAAGAATAAAATGCAAATCAGAAAGAATGAGGAAAAGACATGATATACAACATTAAAAGGAAAACTTAAATACCGTAATTCTCCTTTCATCGGGTCATAAAGCTTGAAGAAAAGCAGAATATCTTCCCTTGTTTTATCAGGTATAGGAAGAGGACGTAAATCCTGAAGTTAAACATGATAAGACAACAAACAAAAGTTACTATTTTAAAAACTTAACATAATATACCTGGTCGTGTTCAACTTCCAAGAATAGTTTTAATTCTGCATTCTGTGCCTTATTTGACACTTCCCTCAACTGTCCAACCTAAAATAACCAAACAAAAAGCATTAAACCACAGGATTAATCAAAGGCCAAAACTTTAGGACTCACCAACTACTGCATCCTATAACAGAGTCCCATTTATATAATTGAATGTCTTCTGCATAGAAATCCTATTATAGACTTCTCCAAATAAGTAATTTCTTAAAAAATAGTACTACTGATAAGGGAATAATGTGTGCTGTGATTTTAGTCATCATACGTTCTTTAAACTTAGGCCAAAAGAATTGAAAATCACATCTATATTTTATTCCCATGGAAAACCTCCCCTCTAGATTTCCCTTCTATTACATAGTTCAGAAAGTATATTACACATAACAGTGAAAGAGATTAGATGCAAAGAAGGAAGACTAAAAAGTGCAATTACTTACAGATTGAGCCTCCTCCTGAGGAGTTAATGGTCTATTTGGACGATATGTATGGTTCTGCCGCTTAGCCCAAATCCAAAAACGCTGATACTGAACTGGAATGCCAAACTCTTTGGCAGCTTCCTCCTGTGAACCAACTCAGAATTACACATTTAAGAAACTGAACTCAAATAATAAATTCCAGCTATATAAACGAAGTCATTTGTTTATTAGTATAGTAATTATTGCAATACTATATTTTAAAGGTGAAACTTTTTTTATTAACATCTTATTAAGTATTCCAACTAATAGTACCATTAAATTGCATCAGGTCAATATGACTAATATTCAAATGTCAAGCTCCACAGAAACTCCCCTAGCAACACCACTGTAACCATAACCTTTCAGAATAACTCAACTGTATATCAGAGTTCCATATGTGATTCAGAATATGCTGTTAGATGACTGGCGAAAGAAAAGAAAAAAAGTGAAGTTCAAGACAGACAATCAGAAGTATGATGCTAATTGCTAAGCGTTGATTACAAATTAACAATTAATAACATCACATATTTTGATTTAACTGCATTTTAAATACAATATCAATATACGAGTACAAGCAAATGAAAATTGTAAATGGTACCTTAAAAACATGGAAGGGGGTCTGCTTCTGAATGTGGAAACTCCTAACTTTGTCATGATCCACAAGATCAAAATAAATGTCCTTTCCAATCTGTTCTAGAAGATCTTCATCTCTTGCAACCTAAATGCATGAATGATATTCAATAATGCGATTATTAGAGGGGAAAAAGATATGAAAATGCCATAATCTTGATTGTAATATATAGATAGGTCCAAAAATGCATAATATTGATTGTAATAGATAGTTACCTTTATAATGGTATAAAGGTGGGCCTGTGCTTTATATTTCCTTTTCTCTTCCTTCTCTTCTTGTTCTTTCTTTAATCTTATCTGAGATCAGACATTGAATACATCAGTCTAAATCAACAAAGTATACATTAGAAAGAGCATAAAGTGAAAACTCAGATGTTTCTCGTCAGATTCATGTAAATAAAGAAATTACCCTCAAGTGTTCGGCAATGTCCTTCTCATCAACATTGCAAATTATTTTGTCCTTGTCACTTTCACGAATATAGACAAGCATGTATGCATTTGAGTATTTTGTAAATTTGAAAGGTGTGTTATTGAACCCAGGATTGGTAGGAGGCAACTGTCGAATATAATATAACAGAACACAACAAATAACTTTTACAAACTTTACAAGAAAACAGACGAGGCTTCTTGAAGTAGAATATAGATACCTTACCTCTTCCTCACCACCATACTGCTCTTCCAATGCCCTCTTCAGATCTTCTTTTGTTACCCGTTCATCATCAAATTTGTACCTAACAAAATGGAAAGATCTTTCAAAGGTTCCAACCTGTCTTTTACTCCATTTATGAACATGAACTAAAGCCAACATTAAATTGAAAAGTGCCCGAGAAGAAATCCAAATCATCTTTAGATATGATAACATAATCGACAATGAAAATCTACAATTAATACTCCATAAAAGGTATCATCTGAAGATAGTAATGATCTCATCAACTAAGATGTTCCATAGTTAAAACACAATTTAAAACATGTCTCACAAAACTTCATGGTACTGCTGTCATTCCAATGTTCACAGAAACGAAGCATTTAAATTCCAAAGCAAATGCAAAATAGAACACTAAAATGTAATAACAGAGGAAATGTGATCTTAAATTAATCACTTCAATTCTTAAAAATTCTTCTTATAGTTCAATAAGAAAATAGGAAAATATACAAGGCTAGTAAGATTGTAATCAATTTAGTCAACTATCAAGTCAAAATATTATGCTCACCACTGGTCAGAAAGAGTTGGCCTGATAAAAGCATAGTAATGTCCACCATGCACTCCTCCGCTATGAACTAAGACACTATAAGAGAAAAAGGGCATGGAAAACATAAGTTCCTCTAAGCATGGATAGTAAAGCAGGGACAAAACTAGTGCAGTTTCTTACCAACCTGCATAACTTAGAACAGAATAAAAGTGCAAGAAAACAGGACATGCAAAACAAAAGTTCCTCAAAACTAGGGTAGTAAAGCTGGGAAAAAACTAGTATTGTGCCGTACCAACTTGCATAACTTACTTACAGAATAAAGTGCGAGTTAGTGATACAAATTATAGAAAATCCTGAGGCAAGTAATACCTGTGAAGTGTGTAAAGGTTGCGAACAGTCCTATCAGCTTCAGGCGATAAGTACTTCCTGTTTTCTCTATCAAGGTCAAGTTGAAGAGGAAATTCATAGCGGTCATTTATCTACAAAATGAGATTAAATATTAAAACAAATAGCCAATGCTGACATGCATATTGCCTAAATTCACATTTAAAAAATAAAGCCTACTAATAGAAACAATTTCATTCCCACTGTTGAAACAATTTAAAGGATGCTTGCCACTCTCAAAGAGGAGAAAGACTAAAATATTCGTTAAGTGATGCTATACTACATCTGTTAACTATTAGGTTTCCTATGGTCTTCATATAAGTTGTGTATCTTTACTTATTACCAATTGGTTTTAGGTTGGATGCTTATCATGGTATCAAACCTTAGGTTTTCTTATGTTCTTACTGCATAAGCCTATGTGAGGTTGACAACCATTAGTGAGGTTGTCCACGTGTAGGCTCAGTGTTGCCAAGGGTGCACTCAAGGTGCTAGAGCCCTTATATTTCCTCAAGCGCAAGGCACAAAAACCCACTAGCCTGATTGAAGTAAAGCGTCATGTGTATGTGTAAAACATATAATAAATTCTATGGTGTGGTCTAGTTTATGTACAAAACATGCAATTTTTAAGTCAACATGCATGATTTCCTTATGGTCCACATCTAAAGTTGAATACTCAAATATTGAGTAGTGTGTGATACTTCCTTTTCTTACTAGTAAAGGTATATCTAGTGAAAAAGTGAAAATTAAATAAGTTAAGGAGAACTTCAATCGGGCAGGCTTTTCTCATGCCTATGACACGCCAAAAAAAAATGCACCTAGGTGCACCAGGCGTGTGCTGTTCAAATGGGCCTTACTCAAAAGGATCTGAGTTACATTTTCTGTCTAGTGATAAGGCACGGATGTGCCTACGGACATGTCTTGACAACATCATGAAGGCTCTATGAGCTACACTTCAGGGAAAGTGTTAAGTGGTATCAGCCATTAGGTTCCAAATGGTTATACATTAAATTGAGTCCCCCCATCTATTACAAATTGGATTTAGGTTGGATTCTTAACAATATTGATCACAGGAAACCAGGTTCATAAAAGTTAAATATTTGGCAAAAGATGAAACAAGATTGGATAGTAATACCATAGTCAACCACAGAAAGAAAAGATAGAACAGGCATCACCATAAATAGAAAATTGCGAAAGGAAATATAGCTATCTATATATTTTTCCCATCAATAGCAGCAATATGGTTGTAGCATGTCTTGATTTTACATAAAGAGAACAGTTAGTCAATATTTTGCGAAAACCTCACAATATGTTTAATCAATATTTAAGAAAGGAAATAGAAGGAATCTTGACAAGGAAATAATGTTTAACTGACAGAAAAGAATTTGAATTTGAATATATAACAGATTCGGTGCATCAGGGAAAGGAGTCATTAGAAGTGTTTTTCTCACATCACATAAGATATTCTGAATCCTTGGAATTATAAAATATACTAAAGAGAAAGTTAGAAAAAGTTAGAAAAGCAATTCAATTATTCAATGCACTTGACAATATACTGATTTTCAGCACTGACCTTCACCATCGTATCCCGCATAAAATCATATTCAAATCGCTTTAGCTGAAGTTGAAGAACAGGGGGAAAGTCGATAAACAAGACACCTTTCTTTGCATCCTGAAAAGAACAGAATTCCGAATATTAAGAAATGTCATTTGAAACAGATTAGCTTTGTTGTACCAGTGGAACGGTTATTATGTTGATTCCGATCAGTCAAACTCAAACCTTCAGTCCAGATTTCAAACTAAAAAATATATATTTGCAGATAAACTCTAGCCATAGAATAAATTTTCAAGCATGGCCTTGTCTATCATTCATTCTAACCCCTAAATGGTCCTTTATTGAAACAACATTTCCATCAAGTAAATTCTTATCACCTCCAAAAAAAAAACTAAAAGGGTAACTAACCTGTAAGCCATGCTCGTCAGCATGATACTTGTTGTCACCCTCAAGGCATTCGACTTCCACATAATTGTCAAAAGAAGCATAAACATCCCGATAGCCTTTCACATCAAGCTGAAGATCTGCCACACAAATTTCACATTCATTTTCTGAGTTCCAAACTAATATTGGTACACATATCAATAAAGAGTAAATACCATAATATGATTCCTTTCTTGTAGACTTGTAATCCACATTGATACATTCAATGTAATTCATATGATGACCCTCAAACAACTGCTGTATCGTCCCCTCTACAACAGTTCCCTGAAATTGAAAAGGGATGTAAACCATAACAAAATTTGTTATGCAAACACAAAAATAGAACTCAGCTAAGTTGAGAACCTTCATTTTATCTTCAAGCTTTTCACAGAGTACCCTGTTGAGCTCTTGAACATCATGTTGCATAAAAGAATCATATGTATCCCATCCAAAGGATTTGGTCAACTCCTTTGTTGAAACACTACTGTCATTATATTGAAGCTTATAAAATAAACGCTGCAGAGCCAAAGGAATACTTCCCACAGGCATGTCAATTTCAGTTGTTGGCATGTGGTATACAGCCTAAAATAGAAAATTAAAAATGAGACATTTCACTCCAACTCACATGTGCAAGCTGTACAGAAATGAAAAATGAGCAAAAGCCCACACCTTTCTGATGTACGGTATGTGGTATAGAGTCTGTAGGAGTGAGTTCATGTAACAAGTTGCTCCTTGGTTCTTAAGGCCAACATATCCAGTTTCTTTCTTTGAGTCATATGACCAATAATCCAGTATCTTACGAACAGCAACCTCAGCTTCAATAACAACAATATCATTCACAAGATATCCTCTACTAGGGTCATAAAGATCGCTGAGAGGCATAAATGATGTGAAACCCCAGTCACTCTCTCTTGCATTGAACTGGTGTTGGGTATCTGCAAACGAAAGTTAACAACATGGCATTAAATAAGTCCCACTGAACACCATGTTTCCATATAATAAGGATGAAAAGAAAGAATAAAAAAACTATCACAAAGGTTTCTTTATCCCTGGAACATATCAACTAATTAAACATCAGACTGCCTGCAATAAAACTAACAAAAATGATTTATCAAGAGGGGAAAAGGTCTAAAGCTTACTGTATCCTGGAAGGTTAGATTACCTTATCCTGGAACAAGTGATCAGCATTGAGCAATATTTCAATTTTATAACCCATTCATGCTAATTTTACTTTTAAAATTAATAATGTGATACTGTTTGTCAGTTTTGCAATATTACTGTCGCATAAAACAAGAAAGATAGGAATTTGTTGGTTGTTTAAAAATACAATTGGAACATAATACATATTTTCAACAAGATATAGAATAAAACAGTGATGATGAAAACTAAAATAGAAGCAAAAGCCGATCAAACAAGTTATCAATTTTGGAAAAATATTTCAATATGTTAAAAGCTTGCTGTGAAAAAAATCTAAATATAATTCAATGGAAGGTTGTAGAGATAGAATGCAAAAAAAGGATGTAGCTATCTTATTGAAAAGAGAAACAGATATGAGTACCAATAAATTTTCTTTATCATCAAAAGGAAGACCCTAATATCTTAAGCAATAGGATAGTTTTGAGCACCACAAATCAAAATCTTCCAAATTTTGGAATTTAATATATCTTACAAGAGGTTCTCCTCAACATCCTATTTCTTCTAGTAAACTCCTCTGAACATCCAAGTGAAATAAATTATAGATAAATAAATAAATAGATGAAATCAAAACTTGAATCTCTCATTATTATTCCTAATCCCCCAGCTAGAAAAAGAGCATAGTTGGAGCTGAAACAAGTTCAAAGGATAAACCATAATCTATTGTGAGAAGGCCATCAAATGAACACCATATATCAAAATACACAATCGAGCACAGATGACAACTGCAAGAAATGGATTCTTTGTAGGCAATGCAATAATCAATTGAATTGAAGCCTCTATATACTAGAATGAAAAGTATAGGGTTTTCCCAATTATGCTGTTTTCATAAAGTATTACTCAAGACAATGAGAGAAATTCAGTAATAGGAAGAATATACCCTTTCTTATTGAATATTTGTGATTGATTTGATTAACCACTGCCAAGCTAAATTGAGCATATCTACTCCAACCATACGGCAGTGAAGAAGAATCTGCAACATCTAAATACATTGACAAGTGATCGACGTTGTTTCCCTTTGGAAAAATTAGTATCCGCCTGCACAGAAGAATCAATGGCACATCCAAATATCAATCACATGACAATCTGCACCGGACGAAATCAAATATATAGTGATAATAACCAAACATCAAAAAAGGAACCCCTCACCATTTATAACCACCAACAACAAATATATCTAAATAGTGCTTCTTGGTGTTGAGCCTAGAAAAATTGTCAATTGTCCAAGTGAATTTCATTGATGGAGGCTCCTCCTCTTGCTGATTTTCAACTGTACTATTTGGCTCGATTTGAGCAACTAAATTAATCAAAATTAACAAATGAACAAAAAATGTCAAAACCCTAACAACCAAAATAATAAAATTATTATAAAAGATTAAACCACATCATCATTGCAGGGGGGGTTCAACCTGATTTTATCAAATAAATAATATAAATTAGAGCATATTTAAAACAAAACAAAAAAGGTAAACCTTCCATTGGCTGAGGTCCTTCGACTATATCCGAAGGCGGCACGAGCATCTCTTCATCTTGTTGCTGTTTCAAAATCCAAACTTCAAAACAATCAAAACTCTGATAAACCAAAATCTAGCCTAAACTCTGCCAAACAAGCCCTAATTACCGTACACTAAATGTATTAAGAAAAGCAAAACCAAATCCACGAAGTTCACGTCTAATGAATCACTTCTCAATTTAGAAACAAATAAAATTTAAAAAAAAAAGAGGATTAAGCAACTCCACAAGTAAAACAAATAAAGAAATTGTAAAGCATTCATTGAGAGCAAAGAGATGCAAGAGAGGTACATACATCTAACGGCGTAGTAGTCATCATAGTCATGCGGGTGAAGATGGAATTGAACCGTCCGATCAGAAATCGGAGAGAAAAAAAAAAGAGAGGAAAACAATGAATAAAAAATAAATAATGAAGGGAAAGGGGAAGGAGAAGAAGCGCGCAGTGCAAAGCAAAGCGAGTTCGATCTTAAGAGCAAAGCGAGTTTGAGAGTCCAAAATATCTGAAAAACAATTCAAGCGTATAACAAAAACATAAATTAATAATTAATAGGGTAAACTCAATAAATGGTCACTCATGTTTGAGTAAATTTCTTTTTCTCCACTAATATTTCAAAATTAATGATTTGATCATTGATAATATCGATTTATAATAAATTGGTCATTCGACGTTAACCGTCGTTACTATAGGTCATAGAATGATGATGCGGAACATTAAGGTCTCGTTTGATGTGACTTTCTTAAAGCACTTTTAGTTAAAAAGTCTATTTTGATCTCAAAATCAATACCAAACTGGTAAAAAATAAAAAAAAATATGGTAGAAATGGTAGTTTCAAACTAATCACAAAAGCTAGGATTTTTAGGTTTTTCACTTTCAACGTCGAGTTTGGAAGCAAATTATAATTTTACTCTTACTAATGTGTGGATCTCACTCAATTATATATTTATATTTTATTTTAATAATTTAATATAAACATCCTTAAAAAATGATTTATTACTAAATAATTTATTTTAAATACTTAAAAGTAAATAAAATTCATGGTTTATATTTTAAAATATTAATAGTGAGTTATTATAAAATATATTTTATATGTCATAGTATTAATAAGTGTAAATATAATTTAACTTTTATATTTTAAATTTACAATATAATGTCTATAATGAACATTTTTTCAAACTCACTTTTAACAACAATCCTAAACACTTAAATTTTAAACAGTACTTTTAAAAGTTCTTTTCTGCCGTACTTTTAAAATTTACTTTTCAAAAGCCCTGTCAAACTAACTATAATTGATTGACATGACAAGTATGCTACCACACAAGATGACCTTTTAACTCCCTCTATATTAATTGGAAACTTCTGTTGTACGGCGCCTAAAAACGGCTAAAAATGGCGTGACCGGTTAAAGAAGTGATCGGTTATGTTATATCATTTAACCAGAAATATTATCAAGCACAATAACATATTAGGTAGTGTTTATATAATGTAATAAGTAGCGCTTATATAATAAAATATGCATTTAACTGGAAATATTATCAAGTACAATAACATATTAGATAGTGCTTATATAATGTAATAGGTAGCGCTTATATTGACCTATTTTCTCATAAAATCGGTAAATTTCAACTGGTTACATTGTAAATTGACCTATTACATTATAATTATCGGTTTCGCTGTTTTTGGGATCGATACAATTTTAAATGTATCGACACTTTATGCGTCCTATTTTGTCATTTTGAGATTGGTTTTGTCATATTTTTAGCTGTTATATTGTTATGGATCGATACATTTTCATAAAGTGTCGACACTTTTTAGGCGCTATAACTTCTTCTCTTTTAAATTTCAAAAGTGTCGATACTTATATTAAAGTATCGACACTTTCAACATATTCGGTAGCGCTTTACCGGTTTTGTCATTTTGAGACCGGTTTTGTCATATTTTTAGCTGTTATATTGTTATGGAGCGATACATTTTCATAAAGTGTCGACACTTTTTAGGCGCTATAACTTCTTCTCTTTTAAATTTCAAAAGTGTTGATACTTATATTAAATTATCGATACTTTCAACATATATAATATCTTTTTACCGGTTTTGTCATTTTTGAGACATGTTTTATCATATTTTACCTGTTATATTGTTATGGATTGATACATTTTTAAAAGTATCAACACTTTATAGGCGCTATAACTTCTTCTCTTTTAAATTCCAAAAGTGTCGATACTTATATTAAAGTATCGACACTTTGAACATATCCGGTAGTTATTTACATGTTTTGTCATTTTGAGACTGGTTTTGTCATATTTTTAGCTGTTATATTGTTATGGATCGATATATTTTCATAAAGTGTCGACACTTTTTAGGCGCTATAACTTCTTCTATTTTAAATTCGGAAAGTGTCGATACTTATATTAAATTATCGACACTTTCAACATATCCGTTAGCGTTTTACCGGTTTTGTCATTTCGATACCGGTTTTGTCATATTTTTACCTGTAATATTGCTATGGAGCGATACATTTTTCATTTGTATCGACACAAATCGACAACCTTAGTTTGCCAGTTGCCAAATATTTTAATATTTCTTCATGATTTAGACCTACTACATTATTATTACTCAATATTTCTAGTAGCGCTAAACCGAATTTGTTAAATATATTATAATGTATCCGGTAACGCCGTATAGTAGCCCTATATTAGCCCGCCTTTCCTGATACAATCCCATAGTAAGTCAAAAGACCCATTCTCTATAAACATGATCACTCCATTTTGGATTCAAGTTACAAATTTTTTTATTGAAGAATATATTCTCCTTCTTGTTGAATAAAATTGATTCCACCATAGCTGATCTGGATTTTGTTCTTTTGTAAGTATTTTTTTTCGATAATCTCCTAATAATAAATTAATTTCTTCGTTGGAGATTAACACCACGTAATAATCAAAAATCAATTCAGGTCCACTTGTGAAATTATCTGAGTATAGATCCTAATAAACATCAACGAGTTTGCCTTCAACTTCAAACGATTATTCCCCTTTTGCTCCAAAAATATAAAGGTTTGAGCTTGATCTTATAATTGTGAGCTCAACTTCAAACATCAAATTGTGAAATAAATAAGGATAAATAGATAATTTTGTTTAAAAATGTTTTTAAAAAAGTTAGAAGCTATTTTTTTTTAGAATTTTAGACCTCATTTGGTGTGGCTTTCTAAAAAGCAATTTCAGCTAAAAAAACTCGTTTTGGTCGTAAAATCAATATCAAATGGGTAAAAATGAGGGGAAAATTATAGTGGGAATGATGGTTTCAAACCAATGACAAAAGCTAGGGTTTGTAGCTTTTTCATATTCAATTTTGTGTTTGGGAGCAAATTATAATTTTACACTTATTAATGCATAGGCTTCACTCAATTATGTATTTACATGTGTTGGGTTATGGGGTCCAGTGATCACCCTTAGGGATTTTATCGTGTATGGGCGCGATATTGGTGTGTGACTGCCTAACTTGCCGAGGCCCACGTGTGCCTTGCGAAGCCCCTAGGCCCGCCCGCAGCACGCTATAGATGCGGGGCTCTGTAATGCCGTGGTGAACTGTGGGGAGTGCCCCACAAGAATCCACCTTGGCTTGGGGGAACCCAATGATCACCCACTACAAAGATATGAGGTTAAAATGGCCCACCTACTTATCACCAATTGGTTTTAAGAAGGAATGGTGACCATTCGCTTCAGAACTCTGTGGTTAAGCGTGTTTGGACTAGGGAAATCCAAGGATGGGTGACCCACTGGGAAGTTGTTCAGAAATGAATGACTTGATCCTAACAACATATTGTTGAAAACATTTTGATGTTTCGATATAACAAATTAAGTTAAATGAATTTTAAGATTTTACAAATGATTTTCTAAAAGTATATTCGATTTAATTGCTCGAATATCAAATTATTACTCCAAGTCTTTTAAGATCAATTTTAAACCTTACTAAATGTGTAAAATTGTGTTTTATACTTAATATATTTTTGAAATAATTTTCACAAAGTATTTTGAACCAAAATCAAGCCTAAAATCAATTTTTCAGAGTGATGCACCGATGCACCAATCCATGCATCGATGCACCATGAATTAAATTGAACATCGAATGCATTTCATGCATCGATGCATATATCATGCACCGATGCACTGAGGATGTTATGAAAACATCGAATGCATTTGATGCATCGATGCACCAGTCATGCATCGATGCACTCTGGCTATTTTGAAACATCGAATGCACTTGATGCATCGCTGCACTCTTAGTGCACCGATGCACTAAGGGTCCAATGGTCAAAATATTTGAATTTTACACTGATGCACCGATGCACTATGGGTATGCATCGATGCACTGACGCTCCCAACTGATTTAATTAATTGTTTTCACACTTAAACGGCTTTATTGACTCCACTAATCATCCCCAACATTCAGAAGTGATTCAAAGTGTATTTAAACAAGCTTAGAAGCCACTGATCAATAACAAGAAACATCAAGCAACTAGAATCAAGAGAGAATCAAAGAGAAAGCATCAAACCTCAAGTTTGAGCATTTCAAGCCTATTTTTCATTCAATATTCATTTTGCTTTCAAGAACACATATTGTGCTCAATTATATTTATTCTTAAGTGTTCTTTCTTTGTTCTAGAATTGTGTAAAAATATTTGCCTTATGAGGTTTTTCTTGTGAGTTTGCAAATTTGTAATCTTCTCTTTGAGAAAAGAGTGTTCTCAAGAATTGGGGTATATTCTCGAGGGAGTTGTAAGGTTATCTCTTTGGTCTCAAAAGAAAGAACAAATTAGTGAATTTGTTGGAAAATCCTTAGTGTGGATAGCTAAGGTAGTGGACGTAGACTTTGGTTGATAAAGTCGAACCACTCTAAATCGCTGTGCAATTACTTTCAATTTTCTGCAAAAGCTTCCATAAAATTTTATTTGCCAATTCACCCCTTCTTGGCCGATTTCGTCAATCGATTAACTCAACAATTGGTATCAGAGCCTCACTCATTTGAAGGTTTAATCGCCTCTTGAGTCAATTCGGGAAGAGTTACATCAATTATCAAGTCATCAATGGCCTCCGCTTCAAATTACGACGCCGGTCTCGATTCGATGCCCGTCAACAAGCCTCATTTCTTCAATGGGGCTAACTATGCCTATTGGAAAAATAGGATGATGTACTTCATTCAAGCAAGTGACATGGGAGCATGGAATGCCGTAGAAGAATGATACATCAAGCCTCACACTCATCCAAGATTGTGGAGTGAAGGAGAGACAAGAATGTTCCAGCTCAACTCCAAAGCCATCCATATAATATTTGGTGCTCTTGGACCAGATGAATACGGAAGAGTTTCATCTTGTACAACCGCCAAAGAAATATGGGACAAACTTCAAGTCACTCATGAAGGTACCAATGAGGTAAAGAAATCTAAAATTAGTATTCTA